TATTTTTTGGTTGCAGCCGTCATTGTTGTTTGGCAGGCCTGGGCTGGATTCGAACCTGCCACCTTGGGTGTACGTGGCTGGCGCCTTAGCCACTTGAGCCACAGGCACCGAGCCCAGAACTACTTCTAATGACAGGTGATCCACCATGCTTATACTTTGAAAGAAGTAGGAAGATGAGTAACAAGACCAAGATTGGGATTGAATAAGGGGCTATGACCTTGTTTCTGCCATAACTTACTCCATCCTGGCCTCCAGCTGTTGAACCAAGTGTTTGTCCACATGGTGACAGAACAGGGGAAGTAGGTTGCTAGGCAAGTTTAGGGGTTCTGCCAGAGAGGCTGTTGGCATTTGGGCTATCTCCCGGGCAATCAAAACCACCATATTTGTCCTGGAAGGAATAAACATAAATAAGTATATTTGTATTTATGCAGGAAACTAACACTTGGAGCCAACGTTTCTTATCTTTCCACTGCCAATACCAGTGTCTCTTACCCCTAGGTGGCAATTAACAGGGAATATTTGCATGTTTGGTAATGCCATACATGCCAGGCAATGCTTAGTGCTTTATCCATTTTCCTTCCTATTTAATCTTAAGAACTCTAAAGGAGTTAGTTCCATCATTCTTAGTTTATAGATAAACAGATTAAATAGTGACATAACTTGCCCCAAACATAGGTTGCTAGTAAGTGACAGAGCCAGAATTCAAACCTAGGTCTGTTTGACTTAAAGCTTGTCCCTTTAATTACTGTGTCAGCTTTATAGCAAAAGAAAAAAAAAAGAAAGAAAAAAAGAAAAGAAAAAGAAAAAAGCAGAACAGCTTCAATCCTATTTCTCCTTTTTCTGCCCAACCTTCTACCCAGTACTTAAATATGCCACTCAAGAAATCTCATCTGGCTCAACCTCCACATCCCACAGGGATTGCAATAGTGTGATCTTACCAATGGTCACTATTTGGTTCATCTTGGGGAGATTCCAGGGATACCAGCTGTTCCCCATGACTCAGCAGGGCATAAAGCAAAGATATTCCAAACTGCAAATGATATACATTCCAGGGAAAAATGAGTTTACCCTGGCAATCAGGGCTTCCCAACTATCTTCCCAACTAAAGAGCAGGTTCACATATACAGATAGCATTCAGTACCCACAAGAACTGTCAGATTTTACAATGGCAAGCCAAAGACTCAGACCTTTCCAAAGGAATCACTGCTCTGAACTTCCCAAAAGATATGCTTGGAGAACTGATTAAGTGCATATTTTTAGGGTCCACCCTCAGGGAATCAGTCTATAGACCAGATAAGGATCCAGAAATCTGAGGCATGTACTCTATGGACTGTACTTTAAGAAGCTCTACTTTAAGCAAGATCTTTAGAGTGGGTTACACAAGATAATCCTGAGATCCTAGAAGATGATATCAGAACTTTCACATCTAGAGTTTCATCCTTTAAAACTTCATTATGACTTAATATTACATGTCTGTACATCATATGTATTCCTATATGTGCACTATGTGTACGTGATTTATAAAAATATGGATGATATAGTTCAGAACTTAATAAAAGGGACATGCAATCAGAAGTTTGGAGACCTCTGCTCAAAAGGCTCACCCCAGCAGCAGCAATCAGGGAGCTTGTTAGAGAAACAGATCCATGGGCTCCCCTACTTACTAATGATTTTGTGGGTGGGACTAAGGAACCAGGTTTAATAAGCTTACCAGATGATCCTGTGTGCAATAGAAGTTGAGAAGCACCAAAGAGGATAAGATTTGTGGAGAGAAAAGCTTTTCCCTCAATTATTCCTTACGAGCGATACCACCTGGAAGCCATCTATGGAAAGAGAAAAGCCTCCCAGACATGTTACCTGATTTTGAAGCACAGCGGTGACTGGCCGCTCAGAGGAGCCAGGTGGCAGCAGCAGGAGACTATGGAGTCCTTGGAGGAGTTCACGGAAGGTCAAGTGACTGATGCATTTGCCCAGAGGTTTAAACAACATTTGTAGGGCCTGAAAATGATCAGTAAAAATAAGATGATCAGTAAGAATCTCTCCTAAACTCCATTAAAACTTTTCCTTCTCCTACCTGGCTCTTTCCTTGCTGACCTGCCTTTTGCACCTTCCTGGTCAGGTGACTTATCAGGCCTATCTCCACCAGGCACAATGCCTCATGCCTGTAATTCTAGCACTCTGGGAGACTGAGGCAGGTGGATTGCCTGAGCTCACAGGTTTGAGACCAGCCTGAGCAAAAGCAAGACCCCCATCTCTAAAAAATAGCCAGTGTTGGCTCAGCGCCTATAGCTCAACCGGCTAAGGCGCCAGCCATGTACACCTAAGGTGGCGGGTTCGAATCCCCAGCCCGGACCCGCCAAA